GGTGTCCTGGTGTCCTTAGGTCTAAAATGAGTCTCTTGTAGACAGCAAATAGATGGGTCTTGTTTCTTTATCCAGTCTGAAATCCTGTGTCTTTTGATGGGATCATTAAGCCCATTCATGTTCAGAGTTACTATTGAAAGATATGAATTTAGTGTCATCATGATACCTATTCTGTCCCTGTTTTTGTGGATTATTTCTTTGGGCGTCCTCTTTTTTTTATAGAGTCCCCCTTAATATTTCTTGCAGAGCTGGTTTGGTGGCAACATGTTTTTTCAGTTTCTGCCTATCTTGGAAGCTCTTTATCTCTCCTTCTATTCTGATTGAGAGCCTTGCTGGATAAAGTATCCTTGGCTACATGTTCCTATCATTAGGACCCTGAATATATCCTGCCATTCCTTTGTGGTCTGCCAGGTCTCTGTGGAGAGGTCTACTGTTAATCTAATATTTCTCACCATAGAAGTTAGTGATCTCTTGTCTCTCGCTGCTTTAAGGATTTTCTGTTTATCTTTGGAATGTGCAAGTTTCACTATTAAATGTTGAGGTGTTGAATGGTTTTTATTGATTTTGTGGGAACCTCTCTATCTCCTGGATATGAGTGCCTGTTTCCCTCCCCAAATTAGGGAAGTTCTCAGCTATGATTTGTTCAAATATGCTTTCTTGTCCTGTTTCCCTTTCAGCGCCCTCTGGAACCCTAATTAAATGTAGATTTTTACTTCTGAGGCTGTCATTTATTTCTCTTAACCTTTCCTCATGGTCTTTTAATTGTTTTTCTCTTTTTTCCTCAGCTTCCTTCCTTGCCATAAACTTGTCTTCTATGTTACTCACTCTTTGTTCTACCTCGTTAACCCTCGTCGTTAGGACCTCCAGTTTGGATTGCATCTCATTTAATTGATTTTTAATTTCGGCCTGATTAGATCTAAATTCTGCAGTCATGAAGTCTCTTGAATCCTTTATGCTTTTTTCCAGAGCCACCAGTAGCTTTATAATTGTGCTTCTGAATTGGCTTTCTGACATCGAATTGTAATCCAAATTCTGGAAGTCTGTGGCAGAGAGTACTGTTTCTGATTCTTTCTTTTGTGGGGAGTTCTTCTTTCTAGTCATTTTGCTCAGTGCAGAGTGACTAAATATGAGTTGTAATGGAAAAAGGAAGAAAAAAAAAGAAAAAGAAAAACAAAAAAACAAGGAGGGGTATTCTCTGGTTCTATATACTGTGAATCCCTCGACTTCCCCCGTAGCTTTCCAGCGCTGCTCTGCCAAGAACTTGCTCTTCCCCTGTCCTTCCAGCTGGTCTTCTGGGGGAGGGGCCTGCTGTGCTGATTCTCAGGTGTGTGCACTGAGCTGCCCGGCCCCTTGCCAGGTGCAGGGCTCAGTGGGAGCTGTTTACCCGGTGAGGCCCCTGTTCCCTGGCGGCCCCGCCCCTCCCAGGCACAGGGTGATACAAGGAGGAACAACCACAATGGTGGTGGCCAGCTCTCCAGCCCTGGAGTCAGCTCCCTAAGTAACTACTGCAGTCTCCCAGTCTGCACTGGACTTGATGTTCCCAGGGCGGGGGGCACTGATCTGCACAGCTTGGGGGTGCCTGGTGCCAGGAGCATCCTCGCTGTCCTGTGCCCTCCGTGCCTCCACCTGGCCCGGGGGAGCACAGGATCCTGGGCTGTGTCCACTCAGAGTCCTGGGCTCCTGGCCTGTGCTGCTGGAATCGCGCTCCTGGTGCACGGCTCCCCAAGGCAGCAGGGATCAGCCCCCTCCGCCCGCAGCCGCCGCCTGAGCTGCTCCCGAGGCCCCCCCGGGCGCACGCTCCAGCCCTTTAACTCGCTCTCCCCCGGGCGTACTTCCTCTGTTAGTGGCCCCGGGAGACTGGAGGCTCCACTGCCCCTCCTGGGATCCTGCCCGAGTTCCCAGCTAAGCACCTTCACTCCAGGAAGAAGCCGGTGCAGATTTTTAAAGTTCCCGCTTTTGGAGGGTGGGCTTTCCCCTCCGGGAGGCTCTGGGCTCGGCTCTAGCCTGGCACCCCATGGGGGCCCCTCCCCCACTTTATTCTTTTTTATTTTTTTTCTGCCTTCCTACCTTGATAGAAGCAAAAACTCTTCTCTCTGTAGCATTCCAGCTGTTCTCTCTTTAAATCTCAGGTCGAATTCATAGGTTTTCAGGGTGATTTGAAAGTTATCTAGGTAAGTTGGTGGGGACAGGTGACCTGGGGACCCTACTCCTCCGCCATCTTGCCCCGCCCCCCGCCCCTTGAATAGTCTTATAAGGAGCATATCAAAATCCTAAAACTGCTGGCCTTAGATCTCTTCCATAGAAGCAGCCACTTTCAACATTGTTAGCTCTTTCCTCTGGTGTTGATATCCTGTGTCTACATTTTACTACTTAACATTTCTAAAGATTACTATAGTATTTCTGATTTAACGGCTTTAGATGTCATCACCAACTTGCTAATACGGAAGATGAGATTTTGACTCTATACACTATTGCTAGATCTTTCCTCTTCCTCCATCATTTCAAGATGGTTATAGCACAGGTTGGGATTAAATGCCTGACTGTGACTAGGAATATCCATAGTGGAGCCATTTGGTGTACTGAGAGCGTATTTCCTTGCTGGTACAGCCTTTTGTTTTCCCTGGAACTCGTGGTCGCCTCATTTTATAATTGTTTTATCTATTGGATGTCTTTTAGCTACACCAATTCATCTGCAAACTATACACAGACATATTAATCTCTCAGTATTAGGAACCTATAGGTCCTCTCCCCTCCTGCACTATTTTCTGGAGGACATCGCTACTAGAGCCTGGCATCCTCCTGTTACACAATTAGGTCTTCTTACACACAGCTCTCACCTGCGGGGCCCTTGAGGCACCACAGGTGCACAATTTAAGAAGCTGTTCACTCTCCAGGTTGTGCAAGTGTTGGGTTAGTACTTGCTTGACCCTGAGAGTGTTTTCTTAAATGTTGTCCCATAGGCACCTTGCTTGCTTTACCGTAGTGCTGGCCCTGGTTACTTCCTTCCTTCATTGGCTCCTCTCCCCCCATCCCATACCTTCCTCTGTCTTGGTTTACTTCCTTATCCTGATGGGGCACATCCTCCAGGAGTTTCCTGAGAAAGCGACATGGGAGACAAACCATCTGAGACTGGATGTCTGAGGTTGTCTTTATCCTACTTTCATGCTTGATTAATAATTTGGCTGCCATGTAGAGTGCCTTAGCTGTCCCTTGTGTAAGCATCTGAGTCTAGTCTCTTTGGTTCGGTTTTTTCAGAGAGTGGTCCTCCCATTGTCCAGCTGTATAGGGGAAGGAGGTGCACCTGGAGCTCTGACTGCCTCTTTGATAGACTTTCAATCAAGCCCCGTGCCTCACACTGCTTCTTGTCACACCTGGTGGCTCCAGATTCCGAGTCTTTCCTAGATTCTCCAGCAACAAGCAGGCTTGCTCTTGTAGCCATTCCCCTGGTGGGTAACCAGGTTTCAGTTTTCTCCGCTCAAAGCCAGTTACTCCCTCCTTCATCTACTTTCCAACATGCAAACATTTCATTGGTATCTCTTGTCCACTGTTGGTATCTAATTCTTTTTTTCATTGAAGAGCTATAGATTTTAATACGTTATTTTTTTAAAAGATTTTATTGGGGCACCTGGGTGGCTGTGTGAGAGAGGAACGCCTAGGTGGCCCAGTGGTTGAGCACCTGCCTTTGGCTCAGGTCGTGATCCCAGGGTTCTGGGATCCCAGGGTCCTGCATCAGGCTCCCCACAGGGAGCCTATTTCTTTCTCTGCCTATGTCTCTTCCTCTCTTTCTGTGTCTCTCATGGATAAATAAATAGTCTTTTAAAAAATAAAAAAAAGATTTTATTTATTTGAGAGCAAGAGAAAGAGCATGAGCATGAGTAGGGGGAAGAGCATAGGGAGAGGGAGAAGCAGGCTCCTCACTGAGCAGGGAGTCCAACGTTGGGCTCGATCCCTGGACCCTGGGATCATGACTTGAGTTGAAGGCAGATGCCTAACCGACTGAGCCACCCAGGTGCCCCTTAAAATGTTCTTATGGTAGTTTTCATGAGGCCTTGGCAAGGAGTCAAGAAAACTTTGTTCCATCTGCCATGCTCAATTAGAAGTGTGTTCTGTCTTTTCTAGCCTTTACTTTTACCCACTTTCTCTCACAGTCATTTTTTAAAAAAGATTTTATTTGCTTATTCATGAGAGACACACAGAGAAAGGCAGAGACATAGGCAGAGGGAGAAACAGGCTCCCTGTGGGGAGCCTGATACAAGATTTGATCCCAGGACCCCGGGATCACGACCTGAGCCAAAGGCAGGTGCTCAACCACTGGGCCACCTAGGTATTCCTCTCTCTCACAGTCTTAATCACAGCTCTTCTAAAACCGAGTTCCGTAATAACTCTGAGTGTGGCTCCCTAGGACTCATCTCCATTAAGTCCATCCTAACTACTCTACCCTACAATGCTCCTCTCTTACTGGGGCTTGACACAGCCCAGTACCTTATTCTGTCCCAGCTTGCATCATCCTTTGTTTCTCATTTGCCAACTTGTGTGCTCCTAGCCTGGCTGAAGTTGGGTACTCTCTCTGGTATTCCCTCCACTGATGCCTCACAGTGAAGATCTGGACAGGAAAATGTGAGCTGGAAGAAAGCTGTTCCTGGCTCTGTCTTGCCAGGACTCCCAACCTCCAATAGCCAGATCAGAGTGACCCATCATTGGCTCCTTGCTATTGAACACAGCCCAGAGCAGTGCTTGAGCAGGTCCTGGGGAGTAGAGGGCTTGCTGCATGGTGCACAGCTTGAGAGGAAAACATCTTGCTTTCCAGATCAGAAACAGGTTCCCAAGGACAGAGAGGAGATGGAGTAGGGGATGTGGGCATGCATACCACATGCTAGGGTGAGGAAGTGAGAGTGTTAAGTGAGCATGGGTGAGAGTGTGTACAACCTTGGGGTGGAGAGACCCCAGAGGGAGGGCAAGTGTGCTCACAAGTCATTAACTCTGAGCTGGCCTCCCTCCAGTAATCACCGTAATCTTTGTCAACCTCTACCTGGTGGTGTTCACCCCATACTGGCCTGTCACTGTGCTCATTCTCACCTGGCTGGCTTTTGACTGGAAGACCCCTGAGCGAGGTAAGGGCCCCTCTAAGGCTGGGTTCCCAGCCATCACATGCTCTTTTCTTATAGTCCTGAGAGGCTCTGGCCAATTCCCAGGCAGATTTTTAACCTGTTCCTCCTTGGGTTAGAGAAGCTGAGGGAAGGGGCCTTTTCCAAATGCCAGGAAGGCCCAGATCAGAACTGGAGTGGGTTAGGGGAAAAGCAGCTAGTAAGGCAGAAAGCTAGGCCCATCCTAAATTGGCCCTGATGTGACATAGCTCATCCTGGTTGCCAGTTACAAGGCCAGGAGACAGCAGGGGGTGAGGAGCCACCCTGTGGCTGGCCCAAAGGGGGTCTGAAGAAGAAAACGGGGGTGGGCAAAACCTGGCTACGTTGGCTCTGTATTCAGGTGGCCGCCGGCTTGCCTGTGTGAGGAATTGGTGCATGTGGAAACAGTATTGTGATTACTTTCCCCTCAAGGTAAGTAGCCCTAGGTCCCCACTTGGGTCCCGGGCCCAGCCCCAACTCCAACTCCAATGCCAGCAGTTGGGCCAGGGTGGAGGTTGGGGGCATCATTTCCATTGAGACCCATGTGACTGATGCCCCCTGGAGCTGTGTGTTACCCAATCCACATGGCTGGACATGGCAGCCCTTTCCCTTCCAGGTCTCTGGCCAGAAGAGGAGTACTTCCTTGGCTATCCCCCTTCTGACTCCACTCTCCTCCACAGCTTTTGAAGACTCATGATATCTCCCCCAGCCACAACTACATCCTTGCGTGCCACCCTCACGGGCTCTTGTCCCACTCATGCTTTGGCCACTTTGCCACGGACACCTCAGGCTTCTCCAAGATCTTTCCTGGTATCACCCCTTATATTCTCACACTGGGAGCTTTTTTCTGGGTGCCGTTGCTCAGAGAGTATGTCATGTCTTCAGGTGAGTTAGTTCCTAGGACATGAGGACAAAGGAAACATGGCTCCCTGAGGGAAAAGTTTTGGGGGAATGGGTGAGAGCAAGGCCAACTTGGTGGTCCTTTCTGGTCTTAAAAGGCTACCTTAGGCTCACCTGCCTGACATGAGGCTCTCCCATCCTTTGAAGAGATAGGGAGGAAAGTTAAGAGGCTTGGGTAATGGCCAATGAGCTTTTGGTGTTTTCTGCCCACCAGGGGCCTGCTCTGTGAGCCGAGCCTCCATGGACTTTCTGCTCACACATAAAGGCACAGGCAACATGCTGATTGTGGTGGTTGGTGGCCTGGCTGAATGCAGATACAGCCTGCCAGGCTCTACCACCCTGGTCTTGAAGAATCGGACTGGCTTTGTACGCATGGCCCTTCAGCATGGGTAAGGAGAGCTCTGGTCCAGAATGGGGAGAGGGGTTCCAAAAGCCCATCACATAAGGAGTAAGGGGTTTTGAGGAAAGGATATCTAGAATTGGGGGGTAGAAAGCTGCTTTTGTGTTGGAGGAAAGCCTGGATGGGGTCCTAGAGGCATTTCTGCTTATGAGACAGGGCTAGAGGGCTAGCCCTTAGCTCTTCTCCCTCATGCTAGCCTCTCATCTGGGCTGGTCCCTCCATCAAAGGTGACTGGCTGCAAGCTCATGTCAGGGAGAACCAAAATTACTGTGTGGGTTAAAGGGGAGAAAGGGAAATGAAATGGCCCTTGAGTCTTCTCTTCCAGTATTTCAGACCCGTGGGTTCACAGGAGGGTCTGGGACTCTCTTCCTTTAGCTTGTTGCTACTTCACCCCCACAAGCAGCCTGGGGTAGACAACAGGGTCCTCAACTTCATCTGGACCTAGGCCCAGCTAAGTCATGGGCTGAGAAGCCTATGGGCAGACCCACCCAGGGACCGCTGGTAGTCAGAGTGGCTATCAAAGGACATGTCTTTTCTCTGCAGAGTGCCTCTAATTCCTGCCTATGCTTTTGGGGAGACAGACCTCTACAATCAGCACATTTTCACTCCAGGGGGCTTGGTGAATTGCTTCCAGAAGTGGGTGCAGCGTATGGTACACATCTACCCTTGTGCTTTCTATGGGCGTGGCTTCACGGAGAACTCCTGGGGCTTACTGCCCTATGCTCGTCCTGTAACCACTGTTGGTGAGTGAGCCCTTCCACTGGCAGCCACGTCTAGGATACAGGATCCAGTTCTGAGGCTGCACCTTGGCTCTGGCTGTGTCCAGAGGTGGAGAGGCTGGCTAGGATGAGGGGCATGGTGAGGGGAAGGATGGGGAGAATCTGGGCTTGAGGGCTGAGGCCTAGTCCAGGAAGTGAGCTGTTCTGATGCTTTTCCCTTTTCCCTCTCTGTCTCCTCTGGCAGTTGGGAAGCCTCTACCATTGCCCAAGATTGAGAACCCGAGCCAGGAGACTGTGGCTAAATACCATGTGCTCTATATCGATGCCCTACGCAAACTCTATGACCAGCATAAGGCCAAGTTTGGCATCTTGGAGACCCAGGAACTGGTGATAGTTTGACAGACATCGCCAACAGCTTCTCAGCAGCCTGGCTGGAAGGCACAGAACCTGTGAAATGGGAGGACAAAAGTCACCTCTGAGCCTCCTGCTCCTGATTTGGCCAGTCCTCAGTATGAGGAGAGGCTGTCCATTTGGCTGTTCTCTAGACCCCTCTTCTTCCTTCACCTCTCTCCTGCTTCCAGCTCTTCTCTGCTTTTACCTTGGGGCTGCAAGAGAAGTAGACCCAAAAGGCAGGGAAAGCCCTAGGCGAGAGGTATCCTGAAGTCTCCCTCACCTATGACCACTCAGCAGCAGTGCTGAGGAAAACAATGGACAGAATAAAAAGCTTCTCTTTGGATACTGCTTGTGGTACAGCTCATGTTTTAAGGGCCCAGTATCCGTGTTCATGGCTCTGCTTCTCTACTCTCAAGCAGCCCCATCTTTTGGCATCAAGGCTCCCGTAGGACTGGGTGCCTTGAGATCCAGCACACTTGGGGCTCAGGCTCTTGGGGCTTCAAGCCCTGTGACATGGAGCAATCTGTCATCTCTTAACCTGAGCTTCCTCCCCTATAAAACAGGACCAAGGATTCCTCCCCTGCTTATCTCAGAGGCTACCGGGAAGATTGATTGTACTGAATGTGATTGACCTTTGTAAGTTGGACAGCTACCCTACAATTATTCTCCTCTGATCATTTTGCCCATTTCCTATCCTTGAGCAACCTCTGCCCTAAATTTCATGGCATCTCTGTGTTTAAAAGAAAGCTTACAGCATAATATCTTGTCAACAGCCCTTTGAATGTTCAAGTAGCCTTTCTATAGTTGGGTGACCTTGGGTTAGCTAACTCGAACTCCTTGAGCACTGTCTCCTCATCTGCAAAATGGAAGGATACATCATGGGGGAGCTGGAGGCTGGGTCTCCCCAAGCTGTTCTGGGCTCAGGCCTGGAATGTCTGTTACAGATGATGCCACAGTATCAGGCTGAGGGTACTTCCATGCTGTGTCTCTGGCTTAGGACAATGATTCTTTTTTGTGGACCTCTAGAGCTTACTGGACAGGCAGTTACAGGAAAAGACCTAAGGTATGGGGATGGGGGTGTGTGTGGTCTGGGACACAGAGAGGATGTAATATGTTCTGACAGGATCTTCAGACCTCCTTCCTTCAGTTGTGCTCTCTGAAGTGGGTGCCTTGGTCCTTCCCCTAGCTCATGTGTGGCAATGCTTGCAAAGAAGCACCTGGCATATAGGGAATATTTAAGTCCATTGCAAGAACAAGGGGGGAAAAAGCTTTATTTGCAAAGAACAAACCATTAATTTACACAAACTTACATCCCAGTTTATATACATTATATATAGTTTATATACATAGTATCTCACACTGGATGATGACCCCCCCCCAAAGCAGCACTGGGCCTACTCCAGGCCATTCTCACCACAAAGCTCACCCCCTCACCCCAGGTGGAAGTATTTTGGATCAAGAAATGACACACCCCAAGTCCTTTTGGAGAAAGCTCTGACAGGAATCAAAAGAAACGATAGGTTCCTTCTTTGTGTTCACATGGCCTAGGGGAGCCTCTGGGCAGGGAAGGGAGGCTGAGGCAATGCCATGGGAGCCTCAGAACTTCCTGGTATTGGGCCAACCCAGAGCCTTCCAGTCCAGAGACCGGAGCAGGGAGAATGTCTCGGGGATAAGAGTTCTGGTGGCAGCTGCAGCTGCTCTTTTCCCTGCCCTGCCGGGCTCCTGAAAGGGAGTGCTTCTAGCCTTGAGTCTCTGGGCAGAAGAAAGGAGGGGTCCCCATGGGACAGAGACTGCTCCACCCCCTCACTCCTTTGAGTCTGTAGGTCACGGCTTGTTCACTTTGGACAGGTCGCCTTCCATCTCTGGGCCTCTGGTTCTTGCTCTAAATTTCTCTGAAATCTATCTGCATCCACTGGAAGTTACATAAAACACACATACTCACACATGGATCAAAGTCTTTGTTCCTGGCCCTTTCCTGCTTAGCAAAAGAAATTTGGCTCAGGATGGATGCAGGGGAACAGAAGGCAAAGGCTACATTTCCCAAGAAACCAGTGGCAAAGCAGCCCCCAATGGCTGCCTTTTATGCCAGCTTTGGCTGCTGAAGCCCAAGCAGCTGGCAAAGGCCTCCGCCATGCAATTCTCCTTCAAACCTCTGCCATCTGCTTGCTCACAAATGTCCTCATTCCCATTCTCTATGCTAGCCTTGGCCCTCTGGTGAACTCAGGTCAGCGCAATTCCAGACTGTAAATCTATTTCCACATCCTCTTACTAGTAAATTGCTTCATCACTTTGCCAATGACTTCACTGCAACAGGGCTCCCCAGCTGTCTATTGCTTCCTTCATCACCTTCCCCCCCTCTAGTTCCTTTTGAGGATTCATAATGGCTAAAGGGTCCTGTGCAAATTCTATTCCCACTATGATCCCCTCCATGCCTGGACAACAGGGTGGGTGTCAGACTGTTCCTTAGGGGTACAATTAAGAAGCCTTTTCCTTCCCTCTCCTCACACACATTTGGCTTTAGAGCCAGTCCTCTCTCAGGTCTTTCCTCCATTAGGAGACATCCTGGGGGTACAAAGCTCTCTGTGGTATGGGAGAAAGGGCTAAGGAGTCCCTTAGTTGCTGTGGGAAGTGGACTAGCTCCCATAACCTGTCTGTAGGGGAACCAGTGGACAACTTTGCCTGTGGCAGGGGTTTCTGTACACGATGGGTGGTTGGGTCATTCATTGGGTGGGTGGAAGACCATAAGGGGTACAGTTCTGTGGGTACTGGAGGCCTGCTGCTTAGACATGGTGCCAAGACAATTCTTCTGACCAAAAGAGCTCTAAGGCTGATGGGTGTTTCCCAAAGAAATGTCCTACTCTTTTGCCACAAAGCCCCTGGCAGCCAAAAGAACATCAAGGAATTACCATCAAGAAATGTAAATGAGCATTTCTGCATTTCTCTCTGGGACACTGAAGAATTTTGGGTCCTTATTCCCATTTTTATTGGTTCTCTCTAGACCACAAATTCAAATCAATGCTGCAGCATAATGGCATAGCTTTGGAGTTAGACCTGCCAGGTCTGAGGCTTAAACTGGTTAAGATCCTGGTCAAAGCACTTCACCTCTGAGAGCCTTGTCTAAACAATGGGATTCATCATATTCTCAAAGGAGATAATGAGAGAGAAAGTACTTTCCAAATTTGAAGGGGGGTTCCCTTCAGTTTTTGCTACAACTGAGGACTGCCTAAGGCACTTTACAGGAGCCTGGGCCAGACACATGCCTAAAGTCCACCCCAAATTGGTTTGCAAGGTTGTCATTAGCAACCAGGCAACGGAGGCATAGCCCACCACCTTGGGCCCTGACCTGTGAAGGGCTGAGCATTACAATTGTTCGGAAAGGGAAGGCACAGTGGAGAAATGAGTACCTGTTCTTGGTGGATTTTAGCTGCCTGAAGGGACTTTTGCCCATCCCCTCAAAGGTAACTTGTTTTGGGAGCTAAAGTAGCACACTGTACAAGATTGGCCTGTCCCAGCTTTGGGCTAGACCCATCATCCAGAAACCAGGCTGGCCCCAGGGCAGTTAGAGATAAGGCCCTTGAGTGGTCCCATTATATGATCCAATGGGGAAGCTGGGGTCAGGAGGTGGGGAGGTGTCCTTGGATCTGACTACAGGGCAGAGCCTTGCCCAATGCCTAGATGCTGGCTTCTCTTGAGCCTAGAATCAGACCATCAGCACTGGAATCTTTGGTGACTCTGCTGTGGCTTTCTGAAGCCAGAGTGAAGCAAGGTGGGTCAGTAGGGCATCAGCTGCTGTCCTTTTGGGTAGGGACTAGGCTAATGGCCACTGGGTCACAGCAAACTCAAAAAACAAAACAAGACCCCACTGTCCTATCTCACTTCTTGCCCTTTTGAAGTCAGGCAGAAAAGTTCTGCCTTGCTGATGCCTAGGAGGAACAGGCTAGGGGTTGTGAATTTTCTTAGGTTATCATAGAAGCTGCCTAGATATTCGAATTTGAAGGAACTCCCAGAGGTCATCCAGTCCAACCCTTTGTCCCCAGACACAAGTTGACTAGATGAATATTTGCATTGCTTAATAAACAGAAAAGTCTCGTTGTGCCCAGGTCATTGAAAGAGTATCCCAGACTCACATAAGCACAAGTCCCAGGTGAGGCACCTGTCTTACACAGAGGTAGGCTCTGTGGAGAAAGAAGACAGGAGTTCTGGTCAGGCTGGGAAAGGGGGCGATCAGGAGGGGACCCAGAGATTTTTCTGAGCATGGAACGTGGCTGTAAACAAAGTGAAAGACGTGCGGCCCCAAATTTGCCCTCAGGTTCTTGTGCAGGAGGGTTTGTGGCCATTCCCTGCAACTGCTTGGAGAAGAGCAAACCTCCTTGTCCCCAAAGCCCGGCAAGCTGCCAAGTGGCTCTCAGCCTGAGTAGGAAGAGCTCTCCGACCCTCTGACCCTCCAGCAGGGCCACCTCGTGGATCCGCAAGGCTTCCATTTCCCAGGATGCCTGCTTGGCAGGTTTCTCCCTAGTTCTCTGCTGCAAGTGGCTGCCTTTCCCCTCCCTGCCCCTCTGCTTTGGCTTCAACACTCTCCTTCCCCCCAACTCTTGACCCCAGCCCTACCCAAGAGAGGAACAACAGCCACTTAGGATCAGAGGCTTGCCCCCACAGTCTGGAGTACACCTTTGCTTTCTCTTGCCTGCTGCCCTGGAACCCCATTTTAGTGCAAGAAACTGTAACTCTGACCACAGGGACGTGGAGGTTGAAGAGTCATGCCATAATCCAGTTGACATGGAGCAGAGGAAGAGGGTCCTGCTTCCTGCAAGCCCTGGGGCCCCATCAACCATCCTGTTAATCCAAGGTCATTCTGAAAAGTTAAGCAGGCCTTCTCATCCTGGAGTCACTGGGGAATAAATAGCACTGGGGTATTGATCTCTGTGGCTGCAACACCCACATACCTCACTCCACAGCAGCACTGTGAGGTTCTGGGAGTCCTGGCTCCCAAACCTGGAACAGGGGCATGGGCAGGGGCAGAAAACAGGAGGGAGTCTAGGATGCTGGGGCCTCACCCAGCCTGATGGCCCCAAAGAAGGTGGTGTGCTTGCTCATATTGATAGAGATGTCGGCATGCACCATCTTCACCGCAATCTTCTGCCGGGCTTTGAGGAGGCAGACGCCTGCAGTATAACAAGTATTGTAGTTGGTCTTGCCGGTCTCAATGCTGCGGGTACACTGCAGGAAGGGCTTCTCATCCACCACCACCTCATAGCTGGCAAAGTCAGTGAAGTTGATGTAGTATACCTGGGTGAGAGGCAACAAGAAGGGATGGGGGGAGGGGAAGCAGAGGGTGGGGCCCTTCCCTGCAACAAACAGGACCAGCTCAGACTCAGCTGAGCTGCCTCCTGGCACAGCACAGCACAGCACACTGTGTGTGTATGGGGGGCGGTGCCAGTGCCACCTGAGGGGGTGTTCGTTGCTCAACAGGAAGGCAAGGTGATGATGGGCTTTTACGCTGTGCTTCCCCTACTCGGTGGGGCTCAGGGGGCAGAGCAAATCCCTTTTGAATAGCACACCAGTCCTTCACTCTGTGTGGGCAGGAACCACACCTTTCTGCCTTGGGTAGCTCTCCTGCCCTCCACCCGGCTCAGCCCTGGCAGGAGGCATGGTGCTCTGCACCTGTTAGGTGCTCAGTCAGTGCTACAGATGAATGAACACACATGAACGTCCAGTGCCATGCCCCAAGGACTTTTTGTGTCTGATCTTAGAAGTCTCTGATTCCCCAGAGAGGTCACTGTGACAACTTGCTATTTCTTAAACTCTTGAAGGACAGCAGCTCACTCAGCTTGCAGCTCCCCCTCCCCCATGACTGAATTTCTCTCACTGATTTTTACAGTGCCTCTTGGCCCCCTGATGATTAAAGAAACAGATCCAGGGAGACAGGGGAGGGGAATGGTGGTGCTATCCACCACAAATGAGCTGCAGAATTTGGAAGGACAAAACCCAGGCCCCTAACTTTACTTTGTGGCTCAAAGGAAGCGCTAACATACTTTCAATGGCCTGGTTTCAAGGGGGAGGATTTTCTGAGCTTTCATGGGGCTCAAGGTCTGAGGCCATTCCCAATTCTATTCTGGGTCCAGATCCACCCCCCCCCCAATAAAAGGAGTTTATGAGAAATGGCCTATAGGACATTTGGATTACACTCATATCCCCCCTGGGGATTGGGAACCCCTCCAAAGTGTCATCCTAAATCACTTTATGAAAGGTTGCTCACTCCGTTGGCTCTTCAGGACAAGTAGTGTATCCAGGTGGCCTATGATTTCTTGGGTCAGGACCCAAGCTGTGCCAGGATGCTTGGTGATGGGCTGAGCAAATGCTTGTTAACCCACCTTCTCCGGCCACTCTCCCGTGAGACCCTTCTGTTGACTCCGTAGTCCTTCTGTCCATCTGCCTGCTACTGCCCGCCCCACAGAAGGCTCAACCTCAGGGTTCATCTACCTCTAGCTCTGAGGAGGCACCCCAGGGGAAGCAAACAACAGGGGTAGAAGTGGCTGGGCAGGCAAAGGACAAAAACCAAGGGCCAAAAGGGCCGGGAGAGTGATGATGGGGTGGAGGAAGAAATGACAGAGACCCAGAGAGGGAGATAAGCAGATGGGAGAAAGAGGAAGGAAACCCTGTCAAAAATGTTTTTGAGGTGGAGAGACAGTTTGCAGGAGCACTATTTAATGTAAAGCTAGCGGTGTTGGGGGGCTAAGGGGTGCTCAGCTGCCCTGCCAGTGACTTTCAAGGGATATACACTGAATCAGAGATCAAGTTTAGCCCTGGAGCTCAACAGCTCAGTGGCGGAAATCAGGGCCTGGGGCTCAGCAGGGGAATGTCAGATGGCAGAGTGTGGGAGGGGTATCTTTGCAGTTTTTCAACAATAACTGGCTGTGGTGGGGAGGGGGACGGTAGGAAACCCCAACTCCAACTGGCCCTTCTCTCTTTTCTCCTTTCCACTCCCTCCCAGTGTAGGGCCCCCACCCCAGTCACTCCAGAAGCCGGAGGTTAGCATGTCTTGGCTGGCTCCACAGTGCCCCTATGTGGCCTGCAACGGATCTGCATTCTGGATACAAGAAGAGTTAGGCCTAAGACCGTACTCACTTCTACCTGACTATAGATGAAGTAGGTGCCGTCCACCAGTACCTCCAGCTCCCCGCTGCGGGGATGTAGCTTAAACACCTTGGGGTTCATGGTGATGCGAGACCAGTCATTGAGCACTCCACCTGAAAGATCTCAGTATGAGAGAAGGGCAGTCACTCAGTACATGTCAGGATAATCTGGGCAACAGAAACAAGAGATGTCGAGTGGCACCTCCCCCATCCCAGTGCCAACACCAAGTGGCCAAGGAGGCCAAGCTTTAAGAACAGCATGTGGAAGCAGAGAGAGTATTCTGTTTGTCAAGCGGCTGCCAGGCATGTCTCAGGCCCCCAAGGTCCACTTATCTGTCTCCTTCTCTCCTTTCCTGACCCCTCTATCTGGAAGGGTCCTTAACTAACACCTTCTAGCTGGAATTGGGGGTGAGGGTAAGAAGAGAGTGGGCATGCTGCCCTATTTTCTTTGTTGTTCTAGGGCCTGCACAGGCAAAATTCAGACACTGAGTGGCAGGCTAGGTCTTATTATTCTATTCTATTTCTCTAGCCATAGCTCCTGAGTCCTTCTCCTGTCTTATCTGTTTGTGGGTTTTGTTCATCTCCTTAAAAGTTCCTTTTTCACAGTGCTTTCATGCCCAGTCCTTTCTGGAAGGCTTCCCTGGGCCCCCCATGAAACCACCCAGCCCAAGGAAATGTCTACCTGGAGAACTTTAGGGATCGGTGGTGGGGGCCTGTGAGGTAGACTTCATAGCAGCTGGAATGAGTGACTGACAGAAATAAGGCCCCATAGGAGAGGGGGATCTTTATGAGAGTAAGAGATAAACCACTAAGCAGCACTAGAACCAGCTCAGGGGCTAGTGAGGGGGGTCTGGGAGTTGCACCCCTGGTGAAGCATCTGTCAGCCCAACCCCGTTGAGGGCAGAGGGCAAGTCCTGTCACCTTCGTTGGACAGTGAGAGCTAGTGTGTGAAGGCAGAGGAAAAGCTTCCCTTTCAATCCTGCAGAAAGAGGGATGTTCCTTCTTACCACCAGAGGAGAGAGTCCAAGCCCTGGGGGCCTTTACCCCTCAAAACCATCCATTCTTCACCTGAGAAGTTGTGAATGTCCTTCTATGGCTAGTCTCAGGAGGCCTGCCTCTCTGAGATGTGAAGACACGAACCTCCTGGAATAGGTGGCCATCTTCCCTCGAGGCGACAGTGGGTGGGATAGGAGTTAGGAGGAGATGCCCTGGTTCTGTCCCTCCAAATGACTGCTCTGCATGATGTCTTTCCTCCCCCCCTCCTTCTGGCTGTTGGTAGAGCTAAATATCAGCATAAGCTACTCCAAGGGATTGGCCCAGAGAGGTTAGAACCGGTCTTGTTGTGTGGTAGTGGGAGCGAACTCTGTTGCTTCTGGCATAGAATAAGCATGGAGGCCACCTGTCCATCCAGACAAATCTATTTCCTGGCAGCCTCACTCCTCCATGGATAGATGGTGATCATGGCCCATCCACGGCCCCAGGGCTCCAGGGCCCCAGGCACCTGGTCCCAGCAGGACTGCTTGGGTTTTGCCACTATTCTGTCCCTACTTATACTCTGGAGGAAATTAAAGTGCAGGCATCCAGGTAGCAGTCCTGGATGTAGCTAAGCCCAATCATTAAGGAAGCTCAGCACAGCCAGTTCAGGACTGACTGGACTCTTAGGAGCTGTCCCCATGCAGCAGGTTTCTTAGCCTTCATTTACTGTCTCTGCACTCCAAGCCCCTCCCACTCCAAGCTCTGTAAGCATCTGGCATCTTGGCTGGCTTGCTGCTTCTCGAGGCTCCTGGGGGTTCATGCATTCCAGGCTGTGTACACCCTGGGGACTGGACATTATTTCAAAGTGCTGTTCTTTAATGAATGTTCATGTTTCTTTGGGGGAGAAAATGAACCTAATCATTCGGTAGAGTGGTACGCACATCACTGAAGTAGCATAGTGCCGTGGAAAGAATCAGACATAGTTTTGAATGCCAGCTCCTACAGTCAACTGAAATCTTGGGCCAGTTAATTAACCTCTCTAAGCTTCAGCTTCTGTCTCTGCAAAAAGGAGCTGATACCTACATCACTGGCTGTTGTGAGGATCCCATAAAATGAAAGACAAAAGAATGCATGTTGAAAACTCTAAAGTACCGGACAAATATAAGGCAGTATGATTTCTTACCGTATGATCCATTCTCTCTGGGACTCTGGTTCCCCAGCTTTTAAATGCAGGGATTACATTAAATCAGTTTTCTTAATCCCCTTAAATCTGTCCCCGCCTTTTTTTTTAATAGGTACTAGCATCCCATACCCCCTGGAGAGTCTAGCATGCCTTCCCTTCCACAACCACCCCCCTCCCTAGAAATGCTCCCTCCACCCATTTTCCGTGGAGACCCATCAGACACGAAGAATTTAATTTTCTGTAGTTTTACCTTCTCTAGTTTGTACCGTGAAAATGTCGATCGAACTACACAAATTTCCTTGGTGACTCTGATACAAACTTCCATCTACCTAGAATTCCCCAACTCGGTGATATCTCAAGTCCCTTTCTGCTTCTTCACCCGTGATTCTAAATGCAATTTATGTGCATTTAGAACCGGTCTGGGTGCAAGTAATTACCCAGGACAGCCAGAAGAGCTCAAAGGGAGCAGAGAATGGCCCCTGCTGCCCAGGGTCCTTCAGGGACCAGCTAGGCTGTGATTCTTGGAAGACCACTGCTGCCCCTAGGGAGGAAGGAGGAGGGAGGGCGGAGGGCGGAGGGAGGAGGGAGGGTGGAGGGCTCCTCTTAGGGGAGAGCCTACTTTGACTCTTACCATTCTTGACTTGAATTGCTGACCCTTGGCCCTGTAGATGCACCACAGCTGGCTGGGAGGATAAGGACAGAGAGAGTAGTCACTGAATGCTCATTCAGCCCTCTGGCTTCCAATCTCATTTCCCAGTTCAGATCCCTTTCTCCTGTCCTGGGATGCCAGGGACCTGGGATCTGCTGGTGATTGGTACTGTGATTTGTAGCTCTGTCACTTCCTGGCTGGGTGACCTCAGGAGAGTGGAATGCCACTGAGCCTCATTTCCCTAACTATGAAATGGGGATTTTAAGAATCTCTGTCTGGCCTCTCTTACAGGGGACGTTGGAAGATCAAATGAGGTGATGGATATAAAATTCCCTGCAAGCCATCAAGCACTGTGCAGCTGTGTGTATTTCTAACTGTGGCCAAACAGCTGTAGTAAGAGAGTCTGACATGAGACAAGGCAAAGGCAGCAGAACTTGCCAATAGAAACAGATTAGGAAGCTCAAAGACAAGGCAGGAGCCTTTCAGGCCATTAAGGCAGAAACCCAGGCGGGGTTTGGCCTGGAGCTGGTTGACTGGTTTTCAAGCTCCAGATCCCAGGCAGTCTGAGTGCTGACAAGGTGTCTGGTGTGGGTGGGAAGTCAGAGGCTCAGGTGGCTAGGCTTGACTGGCAGCTCATTTCTGCGGACGACTGAGCCTGGCTATGGTGACCCACTGTCTTCTGTGCATGGGAAAAAATGTCTGTGGCAAGGCTCCGTTTCCTTAGTTACAGGTAGTTACAGGCGGGCCCTGGGGCAAAGCTTTTCTGTTTCTGGAGATGGGAGGGGGCTGTGAGTGAATAACCTCTGGACCTCCAGGGTATCCACACAAAACAAAGCCTCAGCAAACTTTTTTTTTTTTTTATGAGCCTCAGCAAACTTAATAGGGAGCCACTCAAAGGTGGCTCTAGCCTCGTGGCCTTCCCTCCTCCCCAGAAGAGAGCCATTTCCAGCCAACCTGGTTTTCTCGAGGTCCAGCTTTATCAGCAGTACCTGAAAAATAGGACAGGGCAATCAGAGGGCATGCTTCTACTTCCCTATCTCCTCAGCTAGGCAGTGAGTGGTGGTAAGACTTGCTCTGGGCAGCCAAGCCCTGGGATGGGAGAGGACACCACTCACTTCTCTTACTCCTCCCTGACCTGCCTCTTCAGTGGGCTCAGCGTCCAGCAGGTAAACTGGCCTCTTGCTAATGCTGGCCCCAGGGCAAGCTTCACTCTGCACTGGGAGAGACAGGTGAGAGTGCCTTCCTGTCACTATGTGACCCCGAGACTGCTTTAGTCTTTGGCTCCCTTTATTTTCTTCAGAGAGAACATTGCCATTTGTAAGTATCTTACTTCTTTAATCATCTCTCTCCCCCTCTGGGACATAAACTTCATGAGAACAGGGACCACTTATCAATATATCTGTTGCACATAGGAAGTACTCAAGATCTGTGGAAAGATTGGATACAAACAGCCCCCTCCCCAGCTCCTATCTCTTATGGTCACACTAATGCTGATTAGCCCCATTTGAACTATGAGTCGAAGAATCCAAGTCCTGCTACAGAATTTTTGGACCTAGAGAAATCAGCTGCATAAAGAGTCCATTTCTTTAAAGCCCCAAGGTGCAAGAGGGGAGCAGGAGAAGGAGATAACAACTGACCTAAGCCCTGGCAGGCTGACTCCTGTTAGTTCCAATTAGGCAGGTTTGGATTGGCATCTATACCTTTTGGATGCCCTTCTGGGTCCAAGGGGAAAGATGCACAGAGATCCAATGCTATCTGAATGGGCAATGTGTGTGTGGGGGTAGGGATGTAGTGCAAGAGGCACTTGACTGCTCAGTCTTAGTGGCTGCACTTGCTTTTTCCACAGCCCAAGTGGCTGAAAAGTTTCCAGCTCTTTGGTCACCAGTGACTACTTGTCTACCTTTCTGGGAAAGGCATTTCAGAGTTCATAGGATGAGACTGTTCTAGGGCTTGTAATTTTTTTCCAGTCCCCAATATTCCTCCCCTGTTTCCAGTCAGACATAAACATGTAGTATTAGATGTTGGAAATCAGAGCAAACTAAATCCATCCCCCACTGGAAATCTAGTATAAAAACCCTCAGGGCCACTGGCTCTGGCACGTATGAGTTTACTGGCTCACTGCAGGGAGGCCCAGAATCAGGGAGGACTTACGACGGGAAGGTCAAGAACAGGTGGCCTGTCCTTGACAGGTTGGTATACACAAGAAGTTAGAGTAAGTCAGGCCCTACTGGCTTGTCCAATTCCTAGCTTCCCATTGACCTGGGAGACCTGCTTTTCTTATTGCTCGCCAAAACCATCACCACCATTGGAAACTGCTCTCAGGATCACCCACTCCTGCTCTTTTAAAGTACTTGCAAGGAGCCTGGGGCAGGTGGAGAGACAGAGGAACTCACCAGAAGGTCCCTGTAGGCCAGGGGGTCCCTGAGGACCAGGAGGACCAGGAGGGCCAGGTGGTCCCATAACAGTTGTTCCTGGAATCCCAGGAATTCCTGGAATCCCTGGGGGTCCCTGGGGGCCTGGAGGGCCTGGAGGGCCTGGAGGGCCATTGGGCCCAGGAGGTCCTGCCTTCTTTCCTAAAAGACAAATTCAGTGTTAAATTTGTTGTTATTTACTGATAACAAACATACTGTTCTACAGACTTCCAAAGACACAAAGTCATCCCTTTGGGACTTCTGCTGTTACAGAGGTGAACACCTTTATTATACAACATACACACACACTCCCTATCCTCTTTCATGAATAATTATTTACAGAGCTGGTTTGACGATATAGAAATAAATGACCCTTAAGGAGCTCAATCTTTTTTTTAAAGATTTTATTTATTTATTTATTTATTTATTTATTTATTTGTTTGTTTTTTAATTTTTTTTTTTATTTACGATAGTCATACACAGAGAGAGAGAGGCAGAGACACAGGCAGAGGGAGAAGCAGGCTCCATGCACTGGGATCCTGACGTGGGATTCGATCCCGGGTCTCCAGGATCGCGCCCTGGGCCAAAGGCAGGCGCCAAACCGCTGCGCCACCCAGGGATCTCTGTTTGTTTGTTTTTAAAAGATTTTATTTATTCATGAGAGACACACAGAGAGAGGCAGAGACATACACAGAGGAAGAAGCAGGCTTCCTGCGGGGAACCCGATGTATGACTTGATTCCTGGACCCAGGGATCACGCCCTGAGATGAAGGCAGACTCTCAACTGCTGAGCCACCTAGGAGTCCCAAGATGTTATTTATTTATTTGAGAGAGAAAAAGAGAGCACAAGAGAGAGCACAAGTGAATGGAGGGGCAGAGGGAGAGGGTGAAGCAGACTCCCCGTTGAGCAGGGAGCCCGATGTGGGCTCAATCCCAGGATCCTGAGCCAAACAAACAAAAATGTCTGAGCCACCCAGGGACCCCTAAGGAGCTCAGTCTACTGGGGAAACAGATACAGGCACAAGATAGTATAAGTGCTATATTAGTAGTAGGGACAAAATGCTTTAGAGGTCAGAGAAGGCTTCAAAAAGGAGGTTGCATTTCAGCTGAGTCCAAGAGATTAGAATTATCAAGTGGCTAGATGTGTGGGTCACTGTTTTGAATTGAGAATTGGGCTATAGTTGAAGAGTGTCACTTTCATGTTTACTGCCCAATTTGGTGGACTTGATGCAGATAGGAAGAGGGAGCTAGGAGGACAGCCTGACATTGGGAATAATATCAACACTAGGAAGGTTTCCCACAGAAGTCGAGATATACAGGAACTACAGTTTGGTATAGAGGTGGTGGTAGCTGGAAATGAGGAATGGGAAGGAATTGGGGAAATAAGAGGTGAAGGGGCATGAAGAGAGGGGGGCAGAGGAAGGCAGGGAGAGAGAGATTGGAGAGATTGAATGAAAGAAGGAGAGGTGGAGAGTAGAAAAAGCTGAGGAGGCAGCTGGCAAGTTTTTCTTTCTCAGCTGACCTCTCTAAACCCTATTTTTAAAGATCTCTGGGAAAGGCAATTTCTGTAAACTCCCTTGGTAACATGTTCCAGTGTTTATCACCCCCTCACTGTTAGGAAGTTCTTCCGTATATTTAGCTGAAATTCCTCCTGAGGCAATTTAAGGTTTTATTCTAATCTTTGTGTTGATAGAGAAGAATAGTTACCATCATACACATAATAACCCTCGTATGCTCATAGACATTAAGTCACCTATCAACCTCCATTTTTATAGGCTAAATAATCTGGCTTCCCAGCATCCTTCCTCTGAGGCCCTATTGTCCAACGTATTATTTTTTTTTAAGATTTTTGAAATGTATTTGAGAGAGAGAGAGTGAACAGCGAGTGAGGGAACAAGGGTAGGGAGGAAAGGGCGAGGGAGGACTCCTCACTGAGCAGGGAGCCTGGTGTGGGGCAATGCAAGGCTCAATCCCAGGACCCTGAGACCATGACCTGAGTGGAAGGCAGACACTTAACCGACTGAGCCATCCAGGCACCCCTTCTCCAATGTAAGTAAGCCCACCAACTCCTCCCCATTTCTTCCTCTCTATCTTCTCAGAAAAATCCCAGCCCATCTATTCTATATTCCAGTCTTTTCAACAGTCCCACCAGGATGTAGCTATTTGACAGGTCATAACTGTGGTCTTGTACCAAAATCTGCAGCTCCAGTTTACTTCCTTTGCTCTGTGCAGCCCAATTCACACACTGCAGGTGGCTCGGGGGAGAGGGCATCTTCTTCCCTTCACTGCTTTCTCACAGTTTTGTGGAAATCCCAGGAATAGAAGGCTTTGGCCAGACTCCATGACAGTATCTCCACCTGTGGTGCTTTCTTAGTTTTAAATGTAACCCTCTTAAGTCTCACTTAAATACTTCCTTAACTCTGACTCCTTGCTCCCCAGACTCTTAGGCAGGAGAATCCTGACCTGATTTATCAGGACCTCCTTTAAAAATAATGCTGCATGTTCCAGAAACTCAATCCCCATTGCAATGCCATTCAAGAGGCCTGTTGTCCATGGTTAGCCATGTCTGCGTTTGGACTGACACAACAGGGTCATTATGGGGCTCCTTCCCCAGGGAGGAAAGAAAGGAAGGTCCACAGAGCTTCTTTCCCTTGGAGACTCCCTTGTAGCCTTAAAGACCCAGAGGCAGGAAGGAGCTTTACCATTTTCCCTGCACATAGCAGCAACAAAAGATTGGATCTGTCCAGTTTCTAGATTAGCCAATTTCAAGATGCTGAACAGGAAAGCCATCTCCCTTCAGATTTGGGCAGCTTCCAAGTCAGGCTTATTTAGTGCCCAAGTTTCAATTCCAGCTAGTGCAGTGGAGAGAACACAAAATCTGTAGACAGGAGATAAGGCTGTAAGCACCAGCTCTGCCACAGATGTACTTTGGGCAAATCCCTATCTCTCTCTGAGCCTTAATTTCTCTGTTGGTGAAATGAAGTTTGGCCTTGATGATTTCTCTAAATTTCCTCCAAAGACTAAGGTTCAATGAGGAAGACTGACTTACCCCTGGCAGTCAGGAAACTTCCCTAACCTGTTTGTAAGGTCTGCTTCTCCCTCATTGTTCTCTGGTTGGCAGAGACACAGAGGAGGGTGCATATTAGATTGTTCTATGTCCCAGAATTAACAGGCCTAACTGATTTTCAAGTTAGAGGGTGTTCCATGGGTAGTACAAACTTCAGTGTCAAGACTGTGAATCTCCTGTGATTGCTAATGTAATTTTGGAAGAATTATACCCAGAAACTCCTCTAGTCAAAGAGAATAATGATTGCAGTATAAACAGAGGATGTTCACTTATGAAAATGTTAGAAGGCATTTGGGAAAAAGCTCCTGCTGTATTCTAGTGCTGCAGCTGTTCCTCTTTGCTCTTCTGTAACTAGGTTTAGGTAAGTGTACTTCTCACACTTGCATACTTACAGAAAGTTGGCCCAGAGAGAAGCTTGAACAAAATGACTCCTGGACAAGAGGATGACTTTAGAGGATTGAATTCCTTCTCCAGATTTCCTCACTTTAACAGAACACTCCATGATACAAAAGCCCAGAGACTTCTCTACTTAGAAAAATATCAGAAAGGGAAACAGAACATGAGAGACTCCTAACTCTGGGAAACGAACAAGGGGTGGTAGAAAGGGAGGTGGGTGGGGTGCGGGGGTGACTGGGTGATGGGCACTGAGGGGGGCACTTGATGGGATGAGCACTGGATGTTATGCTATATGTTGGCAAGTTGCACACCAATAAAAAATAAATTAAAAAAAGAAAAAAAAAAGAAAATTGTCCCGTGCAGTCTTAGATGACAGAATAATCAACATTCTTTTCAAAGCTAAACTTTGTGAGAGGGGCATTTCCCTAACCTTTTAGTGAAGGACAAAGTGTTGAAAGAAAAAATAAACACAAGTGAGTGAGGGGGGGGGAGAGGGAGGGAGAAATGTGGAGGGAAAGGGAGAGAGAGAGAATGGACAAGAGCAAGTTAGTTATAGGAGAGGAAAATTCTATTAAAAATGGAAATTAAGTGAACAACTCAATTTACCTCTTCGGGCATGTGCTTATTCATTGTGTCCAAGGAAATCTGTATTAAATGGCTTCTAAATCACTTTCAGTCAAAGTAAATGTTTAAGGCCTATGTGCATTCTCCTAATAATGGCCCATATTCAAGGTAGCAGTGCTAGGCAGTGATCTGAGTCCCTGCAAGAGACATTGGATTCTCTGAATTGTAGTATTTTTTTTCTCTGAATTGTAATTACAGGGCTTCTTGCCTAGATACTTGTATTCTCTTGCCACTAGCAAGTGTGCTCTCTCAGTGCTCAGCCACTGGATAACACTACACCTGGGCACCATTCCCAACTACACACATGACCTATACTCTGGTACATAACTAGCCTACTTGGTGTTTCCCTAAACACACCATGTTTTTCATGCTTCTGGGAGATTTGAGTATGCTGTTCCCTTTGCTGGAATGTCCTTCCACTTCTTCCTCCCTCCATCCTTTAAAGTCCAGGTTAAATACTGTTTTTTTTCCTCCTGAGATGTGGTTCCTTACTCCCCCAGGGAGAACTACTTGTTCTTTCTCTATGCTTCCACAGCACACTGTTCATGCTTTTATGATAGCATTTTTTCATACTACACTGCAATTATTTGTGTGTACTTCCACTATTCCAGCTACACTAGGAGATTTTTGAGGTCAGGCACCACTTTTCTTTTCTTTCTTTCTTTTTTTTTTTTAAGGCACCACTTTTCTTTATCTCAGTATCTCTATTCCTGACAATTATAGAATGCTTTATTAGCTGTCTAGTGAATGAGTGAAAACAGAACAAAACAAAACAAAACTAGTAGCTGTAATTATAAAGTGTTCCCAAGTCTACCTATTAAGAAGAGGTCATCCCTGGACTTGTTTAGGACCAGAAGGTGTCCATGTCAAAGCATGGTGAATTTTCTAGGTTTATTACAATTTCCATTTTAAAAAAGGATGTGACAAAAGTTAAAAACTACATGCTTGAAATGGTAATCAAAACAGGAATGGTACAAAAAAAAAACCAGGAACAGCACTGGCACAAAAATAGATACAGAGATCAATAGAACAGAATAGAAAACCCAGAAATGAACCCACAATTATATGGCCAACTAATTTTTGACAAACCAGGAAAAAATATCCAATCAGAAAAAGACAGCCTTTTCAACAAATGGTGTTGCGAAACTGGACAGCAATATGCATAAGAATGAAACTGGACCACTTTCTTACACCATACACAAAAATAAATTTAAAATCGATTGAAGACTTAAATGTGAGACCTGAAACCAGAAAAATCCTAGAATAGAACACAGGCAGTAACTTCTTTGACATTGGCCATAGCAACTTCTCTAGATATGTCTCCTGAGGCAAGGGTAATAAAGTAAAAAATATACTATTGGAACTACATCAAAATAAAAAGCTTCTGCAAAGCATAGGAAACAATCAACAAAACTAAAAGGCAACCTAAATAATATTTGAAAATGACATATCTGATAAAGGGTTAGTATCCAAAATCTATAAAGTGCTTTCAAAGTCAGTATCCTCAAAACAAATAATCCAATTAGAAAATGGGCAGAAGATATGAATAGACACATTTCCAAAGAAGACACACAGATAGCCAAGAGACACATGAAAGGATGCTCAATATCACTTATCATCAGGAAATGTAAATCAAAATGATAGTTAGATCATCTCGCACCTGTCAGAATGGCTAACATCAATAACACAAGAAACAACAGGTGTTGGCTGGCAAGGATGTGGAGTAAAAGGGAACCCTTTTGCACTGTTGGTGGGAATGCAAATTGGTGCCACCACTCTGGAAAACAGTATGGAGTTTCCTCAAAAAGTTAAAAATAGAACTATCCTACAATCCAGCAATTGCAGTACTAGATATTTACACAAAGGATACAAAAATGCTAATTCAAAGGAATACATGCACCCTGATGTTTATAGCAGCAGTATCTACAATAGCCAAATTATGGAAATAGCCCAAGTGCCCACTGGCTGATGAATTGAGAAATAAGATGTGGTGTATAGATACAATGGACTTTTTTGCTCAGCCATAAAAAAGAATGATATTTTGCCATTTGCAACAACATAGATGGAGGTAGAGAGTATTATGCTAAGTGAAATAAGTCAGTCAGAGAAAGACAAATACCATATGATTTCATTCATATGTGGAATTTAAGGAAAAAAATAAGCAAATGGGAAGAGAGAGAGATAGAGAGAGAGAGACAGACAGACACTAAGAAACAGACTCTTGGGTAGCCCAGGTGGCTCAGTGGTTTAGCGCCGCCTTCAGCCCAGGGTGTGATCCTGGAGACCCAGGATCTAGTCCCATGTCGGACTCCCTGCATGGAGCCTGCTTCTCCCTCTGCCTGTGTCTCTGCCTCTCTGTCTGTCTCTCATAAATAATAAAAAAAAAGAAACAGACTCTTAACTATAGTCAATAAATTGATGGTTACCAGAGGGGAGGGGGCAGGAGGATGGGTTAAATAGGTGGTAGGGATTAAGGAGTGCACTTGTTGTGATGAACACTGGGTGATGTATGGGATTATTTAATCACTATATTGTACACCTGAAACTAATATAACACTGTTAACTAACTGGAATTAAAATAATTAAAAAACTAAAAATAAGTGATCTATCAAGCCATTAAAAGATATGGAGTTACTTAAATGTGTATTACTAAGTGAAAGAAGCCAATCTCAAAAGGCTACATACTGACATTTTGGAAAAGGCAACACTAAAAAGACAGTAGAAAGATCAGTGGTTGCAAGGGGCAAAACAGAAAGGCTTTTTAGGGCAGTGAAACTATTCTTTATAATACTGTAATCCATGGAAATCTATGTTGCTATACATTTGTCAAAACCCATAGAATGTACAGCACTAAAATGAAGCCGATATGTACTTTGAGTGATAATGATATATCAATGGATGTTCATCAATTATAACAAATGTACAAGATGGTGCAAGATGTTGATAGTGGGGGAGGCTGTCCACATGTGGGGGCATGGAATATATGGGAATGCTCTGTACTTTCCCCTCAGTTTTGTTGTGAACCTACAACTGCTCTAAAAAAACTATTAGAAAAAACCTACATGCTTAAAAATCAAATTTACTTTCTTAAATACATAATATCTTGGTGAATGCCCAGGCCCAATAGAGAAAGTTTTCCTCATTGACCCCAGGTCTCTGCCTGTTTTCCAACTTTGCTCAGATCAGGTCCTCAGGAGGCCAGGCCATTCCTCAGCTCCTTTATAACAGGGACATAGGTTTTCCATGTAGGCCATGGTACCTCAAGCCACCACAGTACCCTAGTGCTTCGAGGAGTGACAGGCAGCAGCTGAAGCCAGTCCCTTTGGCCTAATCTGGGATTGGTAATCTACTCTATAAAGCTCCAGAAATTTCTAACAGAATCATTTTACTTAAAGAACTTTATTTTTAAAAATATCTTATTTGAGAGAGAGAGCGAGAGCGAGAGCGAGAGAGAGAGAGAGAGAGAAAAGAGGCAGGGGGAGGGGCAGAGGAAGATGGAGAAGCAGACTTCCTGCTGAGTGGGGAGCCCATCTCGGGGCTCCATTCCAGGATCCTGGGATCATGACCAAAGCTGAAGGCAGACGTTTAAGCTATTGAGCCATCCACACACCCCTACTTAAAGAATTTTAATGAAAAATCAGTAATTTCACTTCATTTTCTTTCCAGGTCAGAACACAGAAACAAATAGGTACTTACAACTGGTTTTGTAGTTTGTTTGTTTTTTAAGTCCTAAGGAGTGGACCATATTGCCTTATTGTGTCTTTTGGAACTTATTCTGTCTTTGGGTTCTCCTCTTCAAGTATGCAAGTGCTTGTACAAGCTCTTGGGCCAGTCCTATTGCAAGTATATCAGAAACATACTGACCCAACAATGGCACAATGGATCTGCTCAACTAGAAGCTTCTTTGAAAGGACCAAAAGATCAGGGTATTCCTTCAGCTTTCTTTTTCCACCACAGAGAAAATGATATTGAAACTCCAAAGCAAGAAAAGCCTCCTTGGTACTGACACCTCTCAGAAGGTAGTCCCACAGCTATCTTAGGACTTTGTATGTGATCACTGATTTGATAAAGGAGGGCAACGAAAGGAAAAAGAAGGATAGGGGGAAGGGTAGAGAATAATGAAGGAAAGAGATCTAAATATAATTGTACAAAAGAGGGAGCAAGAAAGAAAAATAAAAACAACTTTCATATGCTGCTAGAGAAGCAATTTCATGGATCATCACTGAAAAACAATCTCTTGTTTCATGGAAGCACAATACTCAAGGAGGCCATAGATGATTGAATAAAACAATTGACAACCAGCATTGCACTTGATCTTAGCCAAAAGGCCAAGAAGTGATGACAGCCAGCATTGAGAGAATATATAAAAATCCTACTCCCTTGTTTTTTTTTCTTCTTATTTTAGGAAAGATATGACAGCAATTTTATATAATCAGGAGCTTAACTTACCCTTTTTCTTGTTTTTAACTGGACCTGTTAAAAAGAAAATGGAAAATTAAATCACTGGAAATTAATAGAAAGTGATTATTCTCCAAGACAGTCATAGGAGAAACTCTCAAGACACTGAAGATTTTGAGGGAGCCTCACATCAAGGGTCAGGTCATTGGCAAGGTATCTCCCAACTATCAGACGTCCACAGTCTGTTTCTGTTTTTTGACTGAAACATTTAAGAAGAATGTTAAAAGAAATATTCTCCCTTAGAAAACTCTTTCAGTCTCAGTCGTTGCAGTGAGAGAATGAGGACTTCTTCATAGGGATGAAATGCCCATAAACGCAGAACTCATCAACCTTAGGACGGCATTCCATTAATTCTGCGAGTCCTGAGATTGAAGAGTCATGCATTCAGGTGAAGAACTGATATGAAGTCTCTTGCATTGAAGCTAAATGGAAAAGAGGGTCATTTTCATAGAAGGAGCAGAAGCAGCAGCAGTTGACTTTTTAGTCACATATTGTGATTTAAATTGTTATTAAAACAGTGTGATCATAATACGTTCATATGGGTACACATGCACTCCCACTGTAATTGACTATAAGTTAACAGACACTTTAAAATAAGCATCAACAGTTTCACTGACATGAAATCACAGACATTTTCTTGGAAATTACTTCTAAAGAAAACAATTCTAATCAATTGAGGACACTCAGAAAACCCAATGCTTTTCTTATATGGTTAGGTGACAACCACTCCCCAGATACCCACAATTTAGGTATCTCCCATACATATCTCTCCCTCCTGGGGACCCACTTCTCTTCAATCTGTAGGTGGATTTGATTTTCTTTAGACATAGGTGTTTAAAATCTGTTCCAAACTCCCATGAAGAAAGACACTATCGGACATTAAACCATTGTCAATGCCCTCAGGAGCTTTACAAAAAGAACACCAAGCATTTTTATATTGTTTTATAACCTATGAAACCTACTTATTTCCATTTATCATCTCATCTTATCTTTACAACATGCCTAGAATGATTTTTGCCTGTAAGAGCAGGCTCTATCAGAGGCAGGCTCAATCTGAAGTCAACAAAGTATCTAATCTGGAGGGCTTCCAGTATTGCCATCAGAGTTTGCATACGTCCCTTAAAAACCAAGGACTGTGTAGACTTCCCTTGCAAAATATTTTCATTTTCATAGTTTCTCTGCTAAATTTCATGTGTAACAGTAGGTATTATTATGTGCATGGGATGTTTTAGGTTGGGTTTAGCAACCTGCCACACTCAAGGTCATAAATCTCCATTCTTTTATCCTCGTTTTTCCTCCTTTTTTCTCCCCTCACCCGTTTGTCTTCTTTCTTTGCTGCTTATTCTTTATGTTTTTAATGGCATTGAGAGCTCTTGATAACGTGCAAGGAGATTCTGGCAAGGAAGCAGAGCTGCACAAATACTACTCGCTAAGAGGGAGCAACTCAACATGAGAAAGGCCACCTCTTTGAACAAAAAAGCTATTTGAGGAAGAGTTTATACAGAAAGGCCCAGCCCCATCAGCCAGCTACCAGCCAGCTAGTCAGCCACCTCAGTCTGGCAGACCAGAGGGATGGTAGCCAATGCAGCAACACTACACTCATAAACAAGTTGTGCTGGTCCTGGATAAGTTTCTGACTATTCCAGCTGCCTTAAAGGATTAGCACTGTTACATCATACTTCAAAGCAGGTTTTGAGAAAATCAACCATCACCAACAACCAGTCTTCACCAAGAATGCCTATGGAAGGTAGCAAGGTAAATAATGAAACATAACTCTATCCTAAATGAACTTGCAGTTGCATACAAAAATATTAAAGAGGGTGAGACTTAAGGAATTATATTGGCTACTTGAGGAAAAAAAAACAAACCCAAACTTCCTGGAGAAAGTTTGACCTAAATCAACAACTGAAAAGATGGAAAGGGAAGTTAAAAAAATTTTTTTGAACTTCTATTGTGTTTATACCAGGAACCAACTCATTGTATATATATATATATATATATATATATATATATATATATATATATAGATGCATGCATACATACTTACATAAAAAGGGGAAGCAAAAAGGAAAAATTTATTTTTTTAAACAAAACCTTTCGTTTTTTTCAGTGAATTTTTATTTTTAATTGAAGTGTAGTTGACACACAATGTTACATTAGTTTCAGGTATATAACATAGTGATTCAACAATTCTCTATTATGTTATGTTATGGTCACCCCAAGAGTTACTACCATCTGTCCCCATATATCGTTATTATAATATCATTGACTATATTCCCTATGCTGTATCTTTTACCCCCATGACTTAGTTATTCCATAAATGAAGTCTGTGTCTCCCACTCTCCTTCACCTATTCTGCCTATCTCCCTACCCCTCTCCCCTCTGGCAACTCTCACTTGTTTTCTGTATTTATAGCTCTGATTCTGCTTTTTATTTATTTGTTTACTCATTTGTTTTATTTTTTAGGTCCCACATGTAAGTGAGATCATATGGTATTTATTTTTCTTTATCTGACTTATTTCACCTAGCATTTATACCTTTTAGGTCCATCAATGTCGTCACAACTTGCAGGATCTCATTTTTTCTGGCTTAGTAATATTCCATCGTATATATACACACACATCTTCTTTACCCATATCATCTATAGATGTACACTTGGGCTGCTTCCATATCTTGGCTACTATAAATAATGCTGCAATAAACAGGGGTTTTTGATTTTTTTTTTTCATTTACTTTGATTACTACCCAGTAGTAGAATTACTGAATTGTATGCTATTTCTATTTTTAAATTTTCTGAGGAAACTCTACTGTTTTCCATAGTGGTTGCATCAATTCACGTTCCCACCAACAGAGTACAGGTCTCTCACCTCTTTCCCAAATGCCATTTGTTGAAGAGACTATCTTGCAGTTTAAAAATTTTTTCATCACTATATTTTGACATTTTTATAATATGTCTTGGGTGGATCTGCTTTTGTTGATTTTGTTAGGGTTCTCACTGCCTTCTGGACCTGGATATCTGTTTCCTTCCCCAGATTAGGGAAGTTTTCAGCTAGTATCTCTTCAAATATATTTTCTGCCCACCTTTCTCTCTCTTCTTCTTCTGGCACTCCTATGATACAAATATTACTATGTTTGATGGAGTCACTGAGTTCCCTAAGTCTACTTTTATTATTTATAATTATTTTTCTTTTTTCTAGCTTGATTATGTCCATTAGTCTGTCTTCTAGATCTTTACTTCATTTCTCCTTCTTCCAGCCTGCTGTTCATTCCATCAAGCATGTTTCTCATTTTGTTTATTGAGCCCTTTATCTCTGTTATTTTTTATCTCTGTATTAAGGGTCCCACTGATGTCCTCTACTCTTTTCTCAAGTCCAGTGAGTATCTTTATGATCATTATTTTAAATTCTCTATTGAGCATGTACTTATATCTGTTTCACTTAGATCTCTGGCTGTGGTCTTGTCTTTCATTTGGACAAATTCCTAAGTCTTCTCATTTTGTCTAGGTCGCTCTGCCTGCTTCTGCATGTTAGGAAAGTCAGCTATTTTCCTATTGTTGACAGTAATGGCCTTATTAAGAAGAAGACTTGTAGTACCTCATGGTGCAGTCTCCCCTGTTCCCCAGGGCCCAGCACTACAGGGAGTGTCTTCAATGTGTGCTGCATGTGCTCAGCAGTTGTGTCTTGGCTGCTTTACCCATCAGGGCAGTCATGTGCAAGAGGATGTCCTTGCCTGTTGTGGGCAACGTTTGGTTCCTGGCCTGAATATGGTGGGTTTTAACTAGGTGTCTTAACTAGGTGGTCTACTTGTGAAATGAGACCTATCACCACTGCTTCTGGAACTGAGGTCCTGAAAAACTCCTGGGTCAGGAGACATTATGTTGGTAGGGGTTTGGGCTGGTCTTCTGGGGGAGAGAGACTTCCAGGCTGGGACTGAAGCAAGAGTGTCTAGGAAGGGTGTTTCACCAGAGCATGAGGGTTGGTGTTTGGTGTAAGCAACTTAAATACAGAGTATCAGTTCTGCCCTGATTCCTGCAGGTGGCTCTTGTGTTTATGCTGAGGGGTGAGGGAGGGAAACGGTGCCTGGCAGTTCCTTTGTTCCTGAAGGGTATCTCCATTAATGCTGCCTCCTTGGGACGTGCTCTGAGATGAGCAAATAACCTCCCAACTTTGTGCCCTAGGTGCTTTTCAGGTTGCTGTTTCCACACCGTATATCTGCAGGCTATTTGCCCTGACTTCTCTCCAAGAGTAGCTCCAACGCCTCTGGGCTCTCTATGAGCAAGCGCGCTAACCTTTAGCACCCCAGGCTTTAAGCCCCACCCGTTGCAATAACTCACAAAATTTGGGCCTTTTCACTTTCCAAGCCAATTGCTATGGGGATTTATTTTCGTGGTTTTATTATTTTTTAAAAGATTTTATTTATTTATTCATGAGAGACACAGAAAGAGAGGCAGAGACATAGGCAGAGGGAGAAGCAGGCTCCCTTGCAGGAAGCCTGATGTGGGAATTGATCCTGGGACTCGATCCTGGGACTCCAGGATCACGCCCTGAGCCAAAAGCAGACGCTTAACCCCTGAGCTACCCAGGAGTCCCAAAATAAGTGTTCGTGGTTTTATTTTTTTTTAAAGATTTTATTTATTTAGGGGATTCATTTTCTCCTTGCATTCCCCTGTATGTTAGTTTGTCTCTTGCCCTTCTTCGCATCTGTGGCTCCCTCCCCACTGCAGCGGCCAAGATCTATTTCTCTCCCAAACTATGTCTCTGAGCTTCCTACCTTCTTCAATGTTGCCTCTTTTCTACCTTTACTTGTAGAGTGAAAAAAGAAAAATAAAAAATTTAATTAGCTCTTTATCTCATACTGTATATTAAAATCTATACCAAATTAACTAAATATTTAAATGTTAAAAAATAAAATCATAAAATAACTAGAAAAATATGAAAAAGTACCTTTGTAATGCTTGTGTATCCATATTAAAAATGATAATGTAGAAGTACAGTTACTGACAGAAAAAAGTTATT